GAATTTCAACAGACCAAGGGGTTTTATAGGGGTGGTGATGTCACTGCTTTGGCTGACCCTGATTGGTTGGGTGAGGGCTAGGGTCCAGTTACACAAAATGGAGGATAGCGCCACCCGGCCCACAGTACAAAATGGATCAGGAGTTAGTCTCACCCTGTCCTGCCCTCTCAAAACCACATGAGGGAGTGGGATACACTGAGGGGCCACAACAAGGGCTGAGGGAGAAGGTCAGAGTGCCCGGGAAGCGAGAGCTGGGGATTTGGACGGCGATGGGGCGGCATCTGTGAAGGTCAGTTAGCCAGGCCCTGCTCTGGGACCCTGCGGCTGGGGAGGCAAGCATGGTCCCTTAGGAGGCAGCTCTTCCTCCCAAGAATCAAGGGCCCAGCCTTCTGGGCACAGCCAGGTGTCACGGTCCCTGCCATGGCCTCTGAATGATGGGAGTCACCGAGGGATGGCCGTTAAGTCCTTGGGTTAATTGTGAGTCAGCTTTGGGATGGCGATGAGTCCGTCTGTGTGGGTGGCATGGTCTGGAGCCTGGGACCTCCTCACTGCACGGGGATGCGTCCAGCCCCTGTGCCTTCCGGTCCCGAGGGGCACGAGGCCTGAGAAGAGACCCGAGGACTTGGGCAGGTCGCTGATGTCTCTGAGTGCTTTTTTCTGACTGGGAATCCCATTCTATTTAGGGACCCATAACTGAAGGTGGTGGGGCCCCACTCAGCCCAGGCTGACACACGTAAACGGGACCCAACTGTGCAGGGCATGGCGTGGCCATGGCTGTGGGCAGCACAGCCATTCAGAGTTGGGGGATTCGGTGAAACTTCCTGTAGGTCTGGGGGGCCAGCAGTTGTTCCCAAGCCCAGATCCATGTCGGAGGTATGCCACCGTCGGCTGCCAGCTTGTAACCCTGGGGGAGTCAGCTCTCTGAAAAGCTCAGTCTTTGCTGAATTTAATCTACTCAGGCCAGCTCTTCCATCACTTTCCCCGGAGCCCACACAGCTGCCCTTGCCCCTCCCCGAGGTAGCGCCCTGCACGGGGAAGGAGCAGAAGGAAGTACTCAACGAAACCAGATCAATATTGACCCAAGTGAAGGTGCCCACAGAGGCAGGAAGAGGACACGCTGGAGACACTGCCCGGAGCCCCAGGGCCCAGGGGACCACGCTATGAGGAAGAGGAAGGAGCTGAGGTGGGTGCTGGCAGATTCCTGGAGTGACCCCTGGGCAGGATACCCACCCTGCACCTGGCCTCTCCTCTTACAGCCGTTCAAGGCTCCACTGAGGTGGCTCCATCTCAGCTCCTGGATGCGCCCCTGTGCCCTCTTGGTGCCGACTCCCAGGAGAGAAGGGATCTCCTGTGGCTGGTGTGGTCCTCGCCCAGGACTTCCCTGGAGGGTGGCCATGTGGCCGGGGGCTCCAAGCTGAGGCTATTGGAGGGGCCCCCTTAAGGCTGCCCACCTGCCCACCGCCCAGGGCACAGGGTGCGGGTTCCAGGCCTGTGTGTGCGCCGGCCCCAGGAACTGAGCGAGGAGCAGCTCACACGTGGACACCTCGGACAATCGAAGCCCACGGTCAGCACGCCGCACAGGCCACGGTGGGAAAGGGGCTCCCACTGCCCGCAGGCGGCCACATCGCCACCATCAGGCGGCTGGCCCACAGGCCGCTCCGGTTCGCCTAGTGACTGTTCCCGGGACTCAGGAGCTGGCCTGGCAGACGAAGGAGAGCGAGAAGAGATGGTGGAGCCCCAGCACCTCCGCCATGTGTGCTGGCCCGGCAGGCAGCAGGCCTGCTGGCCTCGCGGCCTGTGTCACCCTCTGCAGGCATTTGCTGACGTCAGAGCCGCAAGGGATGCCCAGGCAGAGGCGGCTGGCCGGGCCCTCGGCTCCTGGACCCCGCCAGCCTCTGCAGGCCTGAGTGCCTGGCTCCCGGGCTGGTGAGCCCCGTGGTCCTTCCCAGCCCTGGGCCACTCACGTCCTTGTCCCTCCAGCACCTCATTCCCGGAGGAGCAGGCCTGGGGCCAATGTTTGTTTTGGCACAAAGGATGCCCTGCAAACATTGCCAGGACAGGCTGACTGCGAGGTCGGGAGGAGGGTGCCTCAGTGCCACCCAGCCTCTCCCAGCAGGAGGTGTGCAGGAGCTGTCTGCTGGGAAGGGGAAGCTGCACAGAGCTTGGAGGTAGGCGAGGCTTAGAAACACCCACAGCCACCCAGGATTTCATTCCTAAACCTGTGAATGTCACTTTATAAGGAAAGAGTCTTGGCAGATGTAATGAAGTTAGTTATTTTGAGATGAGGAGATTATATCCTAGGTTATCCAGTGAGCCCTGAATGCAATCACATGTAATCATGGAGAGAGGCTGAGAGAGATTTCAGTGAGAGAGAGAGAGAGAGAGAGAGAGAGAGAGAGAGAGATTTAGAGAAGGCCATGTGGCCAGAGGCAGAAGTTGGAGTGATGTAGCCACAGCCAAGGAATGCTGGCCGCCACCAGAAGCTGAGAGAGGCCATGGAGCCTCTGGAGGGAGCACAGTTCTGACACTGCCTTGATTCTAGCTCAGTGATACTGGATTCCACTCCTCCAGGACCCCGCCAACCTCTGAGCAAATAACTGTGTGTTGTTCTCAGCCACCAAGTATGTGCTGAGCTGCTAATCGCCTCAGGAAACGAATACACAGATGTCCTCTGGCCCCAGGCGCCGGACTCAGCGGACCCTCAGCTGCCCCGGCTGCTGCAGGCGGTTCCCACGCGGGTGTGGGACCGGGCAGGTGAAGGGGGGCCCGCCCGAGTGAGTCCTACTTGACAGTTACGTCTCTTGGTCTCTTGGTGGAGAAATGGAGACACGATGAGACACTTTGCTGTGCAACTGGGCATGTACCTTTGGAGTTAGCAATCTTCGGGTGCTGCCACCACTGTGTGGGCTCATGGGAAGCCGGGACAGGTCCCCTCCAGCCACTGTAGCCAGAGTGGGGTGGGTGTTCACAGACGGAGGGCCAGGAAGGGGCAGAGGGACCACTGAGAGCTTGTGCCCGGACAGCCAGCGCCGCCTCCGCCTCCTGCCTCAGGCCCCACTCCGCCTGCCTGAAGCCAGCGTCCTCGCGCCTGTCTGCGGGGTGGAAGGGGCCCCGGGTGGCTCCCAGCACCCACCTGTGTGACTCAGTTTGGGGGGTTCACACCAGGCAGTGCTTGCGCAGGAGGAGAGCCCCCGCACCGGATGCTCACGGAGAAAACGTGGCTGCGGGCTCCCCGGGGACGGCGGTCTGGCCTTGGGCCCGGGTCCGGGCCCCGGGGCAGCAGCATCTGAGCGGTGGGGCTGCCCTGAGGCCCCGGCTTCTCCCACCTCCCACTGGCATCACCGCGCCAGCTCTTTCGAAACCCGTCCCCAAGTTCCAAAGGGATAAGGTGACAAAGGAGAACGTCCTGGCGCCAGGCCCTCCCCCCAACACACACCCCACTTAGGAGACCTGACTGGGCTCTCAGCCGCCACGCAGCCTCTCCTCGGGCCCCTCCCCTCCCGGGGACACGGGGAGACGTGCAGGCAGGCACCGGGCCTCCTGGGGTTCAATCTGGAGAAGCACTCAGCGGTGTCTGCGTTCTCCTCGCCCACCTTGTGCGGCTGCCCCTTCCCCCTGCGAGGAGCCCAGACCCCTCGGCCCTGGAGCCGCCCGCCGGGGAGGGGCCGCCTGCTGCCCAGGCCTCAGGAGGGGCCTGGCCGGAGCGGGGCCTTCAGCAAGCGCCCCGAGAAGGTGAGGCTCGGGCATCAGGGCTGCGGCCACCAGGCAGCCGCCTCTTAATAAGCACATGTGTAATGCACCCCCGACACCCCACCGCCAAGGGAGAGCAGACAGGGAGTGGCTGGCCGTGCACGCACACGTGTGGCCCAGCACGCACCTGCAGGCAGAGGGGAGCCCGCAGAGGGGAGCGGGGCCTCAGGGCCTCACGGGCTGGTACCCAGGGCTCCGCGCAAAGCCAATCCCGGCGAGCCTGTGCCACGGGCTGTGTTTGGCGTGTCCTGCAGATGAGGCGTGTGAGCCTGTGCCACGGGCCGTGTGTTTGGCGTGTCCTGCAGATGAGGCGTGTGAGCCTGTGCCACGGGCTGTGTGTTTGGCGTGTCCTGCAGATGAGTCGTGTGAGCCTGTGCCACGGGCTGTGTGTTTGGCGTGTCCTGCAGATGAGGCGTGTGAGCCTGTGCCACAGGCTGTGTGTTTGGCGTGTCCTGCAGATGAGGCGTGTGTTTGGCGTGTCCTGCAGATGAGTCGTGTGAGCCTGTGCCACGGGCTGTGTGTTTGGCGTGTCCTGCAGATGAGGCGTGTGAGCCTGTGTCACCGGCTGTGTGTTTGGCGTGTCCTGCAGATGAGGCGTGTGAGCCTGTGTCACCGGCTGTGTGTTTGGCGTGTCCTGCAGATGAGGCGTGTGAGCCTGTGCCACGGGCCGTGTGTTTGGCGTGTCCTGCAGATGAGGCGTGTGAGCCTGTGCCACCGGCTGTGTTTGGCGTATCCTGCAGATGAAGTGTGTGAAACTCTCGTGTCAGAACTGGTTTCAAAGATGGAGCTTGTCCCAGGCCTTCCTGCTGGCGTCGGCAGCTGCCCTCGGCCTCTCCAGGCCCCGAAGGAGCCAGAGGGAGGACTGCCTGCCATCTCCAGGCTCTGGAACAGGGAGGTGGGGCCACAGCCTCGGCTCTTCCTCACCCACTGTCCCTCAGCACCGCGAGGCCAGCTGGGGTCCGGCCAGACAGCTCCGGAGGGCAGAGGCCTGGGGGCCGGTGCCCACAGCCCAGCCAGCCAAGAGGAAGTGCCGAGACCCGAGCAGGGTTGGGGGCACGGGTTTCCCAGGGCCCACCAGCCTGAGCAGGAAGTTGGCCAGGGCTCGGGCCATTAGTTGAGCAAACAGCACGTTCTCAGGAGGACAGGGCGGGTGCGGCCAGCCCTGGGGAGGGAGGAGACGGGGTATATAGTCCCAGGGCCAGACTCCGGGGAGCGTGTCTGGTGCAGGAGCATCCGCGGAGCCCGCCGCCATGAAGCTCGCCGCCGCCTTCCTGCTGCTCGGCGTGGCCCTGCTCAGCCAGCGCAGTGAGTCCCTCACCCAGCGGCCCCCTCACCCAGCGCTCTGCCGGCCCAGCCCCAGCCCCAGCCCAGCCCCAGCCCCAGCCCAGCAGGCCCTGACCTGCTGCCTCTGTACCCACCCTGCCTTGGGCGGCGTGAGGCTGGCCCGGCCTGGAGACCGTTGCTGTCACCCTCCCACGCCAGCCCAGGGGTCCCCTTCTCCGGGAACCTGCCCCGGCCCCCACGGGGCTCACCTCCGCCCTCCCCGCAGCCAGCTCTGGCCCTGCCCAGCCAGCCCCGCAGCCAGCTCTGTGCTCGGTCTATCAAGTGAGCGAGTGGGTGGCGGTGCTGCGGAGGGAGCCAGGGGCTGACGCTCCTCCCTGTGCAGCTGCAGCCTTCTTCGTGAACATGGCGGCCAAGCCCTCGGTCCCGAGCCCGGCCGCCCTCGCGCCTGCCCTGGACAGTGTGGCCGGGGCTGCTGCGGGGGCCACCGGGCCCGCCGGGGCCGTGGCCGACAGTGTGGCCGGGGCGGCGTCCTCCTCCTACTTCAAGGGCTTCCACCCCCTGAGGTTCATCCTGGCCAGCATGGGCATCTCCGTGGACAAACTGGTGGAGGGCTCCAGGAAGTGTGTGACTGAGCTGGGCCCAGACGCGGTGGGGGCCGTGAAGACGCTCCTGGTAAGAGGGCGCCTGCCACCTCCCTCAGTGAGACCCCGCTCCCTCCAACCCTGGCAGAGCCCCCTGGTTTCCGCCCGGGAGAAGCTCGGTGGCCCGGGTGGGAACTGGGAGGACCAGCCGTCTCTGAGGGCCCGGGGAGGAGGTAGAACTCACAAGGTCACCACGTGCCTGGCCCCGGAGCAGGGGCACGGCCTGCCCCAACCCGGCCGGAGCAGAGCTGGGCCGGGAAGCTCAGACCGGCTTCTTTCCAGGGGGCCCTGACGTTCTTCGGCTGAGCAGCAGCTGGAGCATCTCTGCCCGGCGACAACAGGCTGCCACCCTCCAGCCCAGCACCTGCTCCAGCCCAACCAGCCCCTTCCCTCAATAAACAGCTAAGAGCAGCTCTGGACTGATGTCTTCTGGCCTCAGAGCAGCCCGCTCCTCCCCTGCCGTGAGCCTGTGCCGAAGGGAGGGGGCTGTCCCTACACCTGGAGGGGCACCAGGGGGAGGGCATGTGCCCGGCTGTGGGAAGGGACTGAGGGAGCCCTCGGACGCTGGCAGGGGCCACAGCCAGCCATGAAAGGTGACAAGGATTGGGCAAGCATCAATTCAGACTGCATTTGCAAACTGGATTGGGAATTCTTCCTCGTTTTGGTCTGTAAAAGTCTATGAGCCTGGGAATTACCTAGTCCTTGAAGATTAGCAAGAACTGTCCAAACAGCCCTGGCAGGTGTTGCTCAGTGGTTAGAGTGCCGGCCCACGGACCGAACATGTACCTCAGTTTCGGGTTCGATCCCTGGCTCAGCTCAGGTTGTAGCGTGTGCTGGAGGCGGGGGGGCTCACGTCCATCCGGATTGTTGCCCGGGGCGGAGGGGACCCGGGGCGGGGAGGGCTCGGGGCAGGGAGGGCTCACGTCCATCCGGGAGAGCTGCCCGGGGCAGGAGGGCCCGGGGCAGGGGGGAGGGTGGGGGCCGGGGCGGGAGGGCCCGGGGCGGGGAGGGCTCACGTCCATCCGGAGAGCTGCCCGGGGCGGGAGGGCCCGGGGCGGGGAGGGCTCACGTCCATCCGGAGAGCTGCCCGGGGATGCCCGTCAACCACAGCCCTGGAAGCACAAGCCACTTCCAAGATAGGCTCTCCCCGTCTTGCCTATCAACACACAGTGACAGACCAAGCTCCTTTCCACCTTTTGCCTCGCAGCCTGGGTCTGACCTTCCTGTTCCTCTCCTGTCTTGACAAGGAAACCCGGGCTTTAACTTTTGGCCACTTTGACACATTCACAGTCAAACCACAACAGGGAGGAGGCCACTCGCATCCAGATTAGATTTACACCGTGGTCAGACGTGGCCCCAGATCCCCGAGGGCTCTGAACGGGTAGAGCTCTGGTCCGGACGAGCGTCAGAGACAATCCCTGCGCAGCCGGGGAGCACGGCCCTGGGGACAGGACCGCACCGGCCAGAGGCCCCAACGCCGCACATCAGGCTCTCGGCGGCGGCCTGCGCGTTCCCGCCAATGCAGGCGTCACCGAGCACCGCAGGCCACAGGAACTGTGGGTCTGCGGTGGGCTTGGCCAAGCTCCCGCCCTGAGGTGGCCGCTGCCGCCCATGGAGGCCCCCCCGGGGAACCCGAGGGAAACTGCAGTGCTTGGGGAGGACCATGGGAAACCCCAGGCTACCCGCCAGGTCCAGCTTCCCACCCTCTGCGGGTTCCTGGGAAAAGAGACCAACCCTTATCCTGGGGAAGAGACAGCTATTTAAATATCTTATTTTGCTCATTTTTCTTTGTAACTATGTAAAGATCTCGGTGATATAAAATACAAAAATTTAAAGCAACTTAAAAAAATTGAAACCATAAAAAGAAACGAATACAGCTAACTTTGTGAAACTATAGGAACTTAACTCTATCTCCTGGGGTTGGGCGTGGGTCCCCCAGCAGGACAAGACAGTACAAACTGCTCTCTCTCTCTCTTTTTTTTTTTTTTTTTTTTAAATATTGTTCATCAGGTTTTTTAATTCCCTTGGTGGTTTTTTTTTTGTTTTGTTTTTTTTGTTTTTTTTAATTGGCTTCCAAAGGGGAGTTTAAGGTCAAAAGGAGTTTTGGGTGTACTCAGATCCTATTCATCAAAATCTGGGTAAGCTCCTTATTTTTTGGTACAAGATTTAGCATATTGAGACCTAGGTGAGTCAAGGTCCTATTTTTCCTCATTCCAAGCACATGGATTAAGAAATCAGTACTGCCAAAACTGGTTTGGCTCAATGGATAGAGCGTCGGCTTGGAGACTGAAGGGTCCCGGGTTCGATTCCGGTCAAGGGCATGTATCTTGGTTGCGGGCATATCCCCGGTAGGGGGTGTGCAGGAGGCAGCTGATCGATGACTCTCTCTCATCGATGTTTCTCTCTATCCCTCTCTCTTCCTCTCTGTACAAAATCAATAAAATATATATTAAAAAAAAGAAAATAGATGTTGACATAGGATCATTGCCTGACTGGTGTGGCTGTGATTGAGCAGAGACCTATGAACCAGGAAGTCACAGTTTGATTCTCGGTCAGGCCACATGCCCAGGCTGTGGCCTGATCCCAGTGGGGTGTGCAGGGGGCAGCCAATACACAATTCTCTCTCATCATTGATGTTTCTCTCTCTTTCTTTCTGAAATCGATACAAATATTTAATTTAAAAAAAAGAAGGAATGAAAGAAAGGCTGGTGCACCCTCCAGCAGAATAGTATTCAGAAAAAAAAACAAAAAAAGATCATGAAGGTTAAATTACAACCTTATAGCTTGATCTGAACTGTCCGATGTAGTTTAACCTCATTGGCCTCCTGAAGGGACTGAGAAACCGACCAATCAGGCAGCTATGAGAGCCGTGCCTCCTGGGCGCGGCCTCGTTACCATTTCCCACCAGAGGAAGGAGGGTCTTTGGGGCAATGTCCAGTTCTAGGCCGGGGCAGCCAATGAAAACCTGTTAGTCTTTTCATTCCATACCAGAACAGGAGGTTGCCAGACTATCCGGATTGTGTCGAAAAGACAGTACCATCTGAATAAAGCTTCCCTGGCCAGAGGTGGGGCAATTTGAACATCAAACTCATCAAATAGGAGTAAGCCCATGTGTTTTTAAAAAATATGTTTTTATTGATTTCAGAGAGGAAGAGATATAGAAACATCAATGATAAGAGGGAATCACATATTGGCTGCTCCTGCAGGCTCCCTACAGGGGATTAAGCCCACAACCCAGGCATGTGCTCTTGACTGGAATCAAACCCTCTACCCTTCAGTCCGCAGGCCGACGCCCTATCCACTGAGCCAAGCTGGTTAGGGCCGAGTCCATGTTTTAATACAGGGAAAGAGAGTCTGTATGGTAATCTTTGGAGGACATAGGAAATAAACCCATTAATTTGAAAACGTAAATATATATTGTTTAATGCTTATCACTTTGCACTGAAATATATACAGATGAAATGCTATGTCTGGACTTTGCTTCAAAATAACCCAGGGTGTGCAGAATGGGGGCTAGCTGAATCAAGAGTGGCCCCTAATGGGAACTGAAGCTTGGTGATGGGTGAATCCAGTCCATTAGATTGTTCTTGGCACTTTGGTGTAAGTCAGAGACACTTCAAAATAAAGTTTAAAAAGGAAAGCTTAAACGAAAACTCAGAGAATGCATGCAACACAACTAACTGATAAAGGAAAACTGTTCTGAGACTATAAAGAGGTATGAGTCAACTGTAAATGGGCAAAATCCCTGAGACATAAAATCATAAGAATCTGAAATAGAAAAACAAAAGTGCCCTTTGTTAATAAGGGGAATATAAATTGAAATACTATTATTCCCACCAGATTATAAAAACGAAGTCAGCCAAAAACAAGTGCTGGCAAAGGAAGAACCCGCTCCCGAGATGGAGGGCAGGTGGGAACACACACTGTGGACGGGGGAAGCAATCCGAAGGAGCAGCAGGACTGCCCCACACCCAGCAAGGCCAGCCCTCAGGGGCACATTCCAGAGAAGCCCTCGCACGCGGCACCTGCCAGAACGTTCAGACGGAATGGCCTGCAAGGGGCCAGGGGAGGAAGAGAACTATAACTCAAATATACTTGCAGAGAAGAATGGATGAATATATTTTGAAATAGTCACATACAATAATGAAAATAAATTAAATATAGCTATTATAATTGCATGCATTTACATGAATGAATCTCCATAACATACTGACCAAATAATTCAAGCCCCATAATAGCAATACAAATTTTCATTTATATGCGTTTTGTTTTTAATTTTGATAAACCCTAATTAATCTACCTTTTCTTTTAGTTCCTTTGCTTTTAAGATGTTTTACCTAAGAAAGTATTGCCTAAACCAGCATCATAAATATTTATATCTCTGTATTTTTCAAGGAATTTAAAAAAGATTTAGCTCTTACATTGAGATTTTTTATTAATTTTTGCATATGACCTGAGGTAGGAGTCCAATGTTATTCTTTTTTTTTAAATAAATTTTTATTGTTCATATTATTACAAATGTTCATATTTTTTTCCTCCATTGCTCCCCTCCAACAGGTTCCCACCCCACCCTCTGCCCTTTCCCCACCCCCATTGTCCTCATCCATAGGTGCACAGTTTATGTTCAGTCTCTTCCTACACCCCCCTCTCCCCTTTTCCCCGAGAATCGTCAGTTCACTCCCCTTCCATACCTCTGATTCTATTATATTCACCAGTTAATATTGTTCGTCAGATTTTTTAATTCCCTTGGTTTTTAAGATTCACTCAATGTTATTCTTTTGCTTGTGAATTTCCAGTTGTCCAGCATCGTTGTTGGACACTGTCCTTCCCCTTATTGAGATGTCTTGATGCCTGTCATAAATCAAATGACCATAAACCTGAGGGTATATGTCAGAGCTCTCAATTCACTTCCATTGATCCAAATGCCATCCTTATGTCAATATTAAAAAGACTATTGTCTTTTTAAATATATTTTATTGATTTTTTACAGAGAGGAAGGGAGAGGGATAGAAAATTAGAAGCATCGATGAGAACATTGATCAGCTGCCTCCTGCACCCCCCCAACTGGGGATGTGCCCGAAACCAAGGTACATGCCCTTGACTGGGATCGAACCTGAGACCTCTCAGTCCGCATGCCAATGCTCTATCCACTGAGCCAAACCAGTTTTGGCACTACTATCTTATAATGCTGTGGCTTTTTGATATGCTTTGAAACCAAAAAGTTAGGTCCTCCAACTTTATTTTTTTTCAAGATTATTTGGCTATTTGAGGGTCTTTAATATACTTTGCACATGAATTTTAAGATC